CTAATGTTTTTGTCACTTATTACAGAATCAAATTCAAAGTAATGTGAGTACTTCCTGCTTTAAACGCTGCACATTCGTACTCTCTCCTGCTCTCCATATTATCCATCGTTGATCTGCACACGTCTGTTGCTGCCACGGACGTCGCACGCTCGTCACTGTCATGAGACACTCTCACCAACAAAATCATGGTTTAGTAACGCAGTAAGGCGTGCTTATGGGAAAGTAACAGTAATCTAATTACTTTTTTGCAATAGTAATACTTGTTCTCGTTACTTGAAAAAAGTAATCAGATTACAGTAACGCGTTAACACATTACTGCCTATCTCTGCTCAGCACATTTCAAAGTATGGAGTAAAGGACGCTGCCACAGCATATGTTTCCTGGAGTTACAAATCACACTTCTGTATTCTGTCTGATGTACTTGGCTGGGTTTGACAGGTGCCTGGAGAACGATACTTGCTCTTGCTCTGCATTGTACCAAGTGTAATCAATAAATACATATTCCCCTTTACATAATTCTATTATATAATCACCCCACATAATTATGGTGTGGGGTTGTTTTTCAGGAATAGATCTCACAGGCTTAGACAGCTTAATGCTTCAGGGGATGGCCCCTTCCTCTTCCAACGTGGCTGTGCATCAGTGCACAAAGCAAGGTCCATAAAGTCATTAATGAGCAGGGTTGGTGCGGAAGAAAAACGTTGTTAACAAAAAGTTGTTATAGCTGCAAAAGGTGGGGTATTTTATAACTTTGTGACCACTGACAGGTAAGGTGAATAATACCGATTATCTTCTAGTCATGGCACCTGTTAGTGATTGGGATATATCAGGGAGCAAGTAAACATTTTGCTCTTAAATGTAGATGTGTTAGAAGCAGAAAAAATGGGCAACCATAAGCATTTGAGTGAGTTTAACAAGGGTCAAATTGTGATGGCACGACAACTAAGTCAGATTTGCAAAACTGTGGGGTGTTCCCAGTTTGGAGTGGCCAGTATCTATCAAAAGGGTCATGGGCTGGTCAAGGCTCATGGATGTGGAGCTAAGGCTGGTTCGTGTGGTCCAATCCAACAGACAAGATAATGTAGCTCAAAATACTAAAAATGTTTGTACTGATTCTGATAGAAAGATGTCAGAATACACATTGCATCACAGTTTGTTGTATATGGGACTGCAACCTGCCCGGTCACAGTGCC